GAACAGAAAAACTTTGTCGCAAAATATCCTGCCCGTTTTTTATATCGATGCAATTATAAAGAACTAGCGTCTTTGGGGCGCAATGAGATTTTGGTGCGCGAGCGGTGGCACGGTTCGACACGTGATCGTGCTACACCAATCGAGTAGCTGATTGATGTCAACACTTTCGGCAACACTGCTTCCTCCTTGGTTCCACTTAACGTTACCGGCAGAGAGGAATTCTCTGAAAAGTCTTCTAGTGGGTCAAATGGATTCTAAACAGTACTTTATACATAGCCGCCTGCACGAAGAACAATGAGGAAAATAGACGATAAGGTGAACTTTGTTCTGTTGAACATTGTTGAACTATGTTCAATCATTTTGATCAATAGAAGGAAGTAATCAATGACAAGAACCATTTGTTTATTCATTCGTTCATTTATTCACTCCTAACAAAATACAACACTGATCAATCGTAAAAAAACTTTATTAAAACATATATACATACAGTATGTACAATATATAAAACAATACAAAACAGCATAAGAAAATGAATGGTAATATTAACCATGCAACCATTGCAATACAACTCTGAGGCTACACATGAAATGTTAGTGATCCTCCTTCTCCTTGATTTCATGTTTGCACAGTGGCAACACCTACACAGGTCTGTACAACAGAGTCCTGCAAAGACACAAGACACACTGTCAGGGGCCAGATTTCATGTCATTCATGTGACATGTAGATTTCCATCTTCTAGGTGCCAACCATATCCTGCCTGCATGACTGCAGCCTGATCATTTTTTGCAGTGCTGATGGAGGGCATCACTTAGGCATCAGAGGCTGATGATGCCATACAGAAAGCCTAGCCTCATTGACATTTTTAGCAGCCAGCTGATCATACAGTAGCAGTCAGCTGATCATACAGGTGGCATACATATTTGCAAAGCAGTGCAAATGTTAAGTGGTCCAAGTTAAAGTTAGTACCCAGATTTTTAAAACCCTTAAGGTAGTTTTCTCGCTCACTTGTTACAGAAAATGTCTTTCTTTTGCCTTTACCATAAAGGCACTTGTGGAATCACACCCAGAGGATGCATGTATGCCAATCAAGGCTGAACAAACACTGGTTCCAGTTACCTCGGTAATATCAATGATGCATGTCCTGTTGCCTGTCACTGTGAAATCTGCTCTTTTGCAGCATGTTGTGCATGCAAAAACACCCTTGACTCACATTCTTCATGATCACACTCTTCATGATCGGTCTTCCACAGCATGAACAGATGACCTGTGTAGGTGTTGCTACTGTGCAAACTGTGAAATCAAGGAGGAGGATGACAACTGCCGTGACACTGACAGTGAAGACTAACATTTCATGTGTATCCTCAGAGTTGTATTGCAATGGTTGCATGGTTAATATTACCATCATTTTCTTATGCTGTTTTGTATTGTTTTATATATTGTACATACTGTATGTATATATGTTTTAATAAAGTTTTTTTTTTACAATTGATCGGTGTTGTATTTAGTTAGGAGCGAATAAATGAACGAATGAATAAACAAATGGTTCTTGTCATTGATTACTTCCTTTTATTGATCAAAATGACTTAACAAAGTTCACCTTATCGTCTATTCACCTTATCGTCCATTTTCCTCATTGTTCTTCGTGCAGGCGGCTATGTATAAAGCACTGTTTAGAATCCATTTGGTCCACTTGAAGAGTTTTCAGAGAATTCCTCTCTATCGGTAACGTTAAGTAGAACCACGGAGGAAGCCGTGTTGCCGGAAGTGTTGACATCATTCAGCTACTCGATTGGTGTAGCACGATCACGTGTCGAACCGGGCCACCGCTCGAGCACCAAAATCTCATTGCGCCCCAAAGACGCTAGTTCTTTATAAAATGTATCGATATAAAAAACGGGCAAGAATAAGTTTTTTGCTGTACATTTAACGTAACTCGTTCGTATTTATGTTTAGATCGTGTAGTTCTCAGACGTCGGAGCGGAATTCCATTAAAAAAAAGGACTAAAGGACTTTTCGTGGTTCACCTTACGGCCTAATGTGCTGAATTCACGTGACACATTTCAAAGTTGAAACTGGGTAGTATTTGACATAAGGGTCTTTTAGAACCTCCCTCAGATTCCTAAAGGGAATTTAGATTTCCTTAAAATGTGATTTTGTGGCATTAGCCTAAATCGGCAATAGTGTAAGTTTGGTATATGACAAAAGAAAAAAAAATCCAACAACAACAAATGTATAGTGTTCCATCTAGTGTGTGTGTATACCCTTTGATTGTTATGGAGCAATGCCCAAAGTGCAGAAGATCCTATACAGCGAGTTTCTAGGTCTTTACTTTCCAGAGAGTGAAGCACAGCTTTCATGGCTTTTTCTGTAAAAATCAGAGGAGTACATCATTTGTCATCCAGAGAAAATTCTAGAAGATCACTCATGACAGAAATACAGAAAACTGATTAATAAATATTTTTACATGACAGAAAATAAATACCAGGGAAACAAAAACTAAAACATATAACAAGCCCTGCAAAAAGAAAAAACTTAGATTATAATTATATACATTGAAAACCCCCCAGAAAGCCACATTTATACCATGTGAAAAATTTGAACATATAATGACAAATGTTATAGACACAGGAAATGTGGTCTTCACACAGGAAATAAAAAAACCCATTACAACCGATTCAGACCACCCGGGCCCCTCAATTCCCACCTGCAGTTTGCATCATACTGTGCATGTGTGGCATCTACGCAATCTGCATTTTCATCTGTTCTGTAACCTCCGCTTTCTTTTTTCCATCTGCAGAGCTATTCATCATCACACAAACATCACACCTTTTTTTTTCACTGACTCTGAATAGGAAATTAACTTTCAACATTTCAATCAGTGACTCAACTGTACTGTTTTAAGGGGTGTATCTGGTGATACGATACATATCATGATACAGGAGCAACAGTACCAGCTTATAGTATTGCAGTATAGAGCAGTATAGCTCTATACTGCAATACTATAAGCATGACAATATGTTGAGTGAGTTGAGTACTTGGAAATGTATGCGGTCCCTGCACTACTAGTGGTTAGAGGTTTAAATGCAACACAAAAATTAACCAACACCATGAATATTTGCATGATTGTTAATAAAGAACTGATACAGTGCTGTAGAGTATCAATACAGTATCGTGAAGGAAATATCGCAATATTTCAGTATATCAATATTTCCTTACACCCTTAGTTTATATGTAGCTGTAGCGTTTTTTGTTTTTTTTGTCTAATCTCTTTGTCGGTTTAACATTCAGCTTAAAAGTTCAGTAAAAGCTAATTATCAAATCAATAAATAATTGTTGGAATAATCATTAATGATTTTAATATAAATAATCCTGATTAAGATTTTTTGCCATAACTGAGCAGCCCTAACCTGGGTTTTCACTGAATTTATAAATATATATATATATATATATATATATATATACATAGTCATGCGTGTACAACACACAGGCAAGACCTTGTAAGCCTAGTCATCATTACAGTTCTACTTAGATTCAGTCTATCCATCTATTTACATTACATTAGGTCATTCAGTTTAAGAAAAAAACAAAACAAAAAACAATGTTGGAGGCAGACACCAGGGTCGGAATTCTGAACTTAAATGTTATTTCTGGGTGTAGATTTAGATCAATCCCGGATTTGTATTACCCCTGGCTCAATCCACACTTCAGTGAGTGAATTGATGTATTCATAACAAGGAGGGGGAGGGTGCTATGTGTGTGGATGTTGGGGGATTGATTGTGCTGGTGCACACACCATTTGTGTACCCCAGAGTGTTGTTGGTCGCCAGCTGGAGAGGTCAGCAGAAGATCCTACTGTCCTGCATGTCATCATCAACCCCTCAAGATTTTAGTAATGGCTGCTCCAGATTAGAGGGAGAGCAGACACTAAAGCTAAGTTGAGTGGTGTCCTATTAGTGGTAGGAATTTGTGTGAACCTGGTTGGTCTGATAATACATCTTATTTAAAAAGTGCTTGTCAAAACACCCAAGGAAAATTATTAAGCAATTATATCAATACATAAATTGATACATTTTATAGTATTTCAAATCCACCATCACATTTCACAAGAAAAATACAATCATGACAATTGTGTGTCACTGTTTGCGAAATCTTACCAACTGATTGGTTCAACGGGGCCTGTTGTTATTATAGTCAGCAAATTCATTATAAATATTAAATAGAGATAATTATTTAAGGTGAATATAGTTGAACAAGACAACAGAAAACTAAAACTAAGCATTTTTAAATACATCATCATGTAAGGAAGATTCCTTAATTGGAAATTACTTGGAGCTAATTGGAGACTGTATGGTGTATCAAAAACCTATAAACTTTTTATGTGATGAAAGTATTTTCCGTAATTCCTCAAATTGTGCTTGATGTTATGTTGTCTTGCAGGTGTCTCAACAACAACATTTTTATCATCGGTTCGTGCCAAAGAGGGTGGTTCTGTAGAACTAGGTTGCAGCCTCCCTCCCGACACCAAAGAAAACTCCACCCCAAACCTCTTCCCTCTGGTAGAGTGGGTGCGTCAGGATTATGATGTTCCCATCCTAATCAATCTTAGATTGTACCTGAGAGTTCATCCAAACTATAAAGGTAAGATTTCATGCAGTTAAAAGAAAAAGAAAATTGTTCTCTTAATGCTACTCATAAGGTTCTGGTGCGAAGGCAGGCACTGTACTGTATGTGTAGGAGCTGTATATTTGGAGAGCAGTCTTTAAATTGTTAATTTATATAATTAAATATATTTAAAAACATTATCTAGGTGATCCACATAAACAATATTTCTCTTTATTATGGTCAATAATAATTGGAATGTAGCGGTTGTATGCCATTTGACTTGAGCCTGTAGATTTAGGAATGCAGGGGCTATACTTGCATTTTTTTTCTTTAAATATGAAAGTGTAAGCGTGATTAAAGGGGTAACCCAAATAGGTAATCCACCAAAATCCCAATCCCTGTTCTCTTGTCTGTGTGTTTCCAGACAGCAGTTTTGGTGCAGACAGAATTACAATAGCTGGAATGCATCTGTTTTATTGGAGGCTGTTGAAGGGGGTGGGGAACTGGGAAGGAAGAATAGGGGTACTGAGAATAGTGGGATTAGGAGAGTAGGTGGGGGCCTGTTGGTGTAATGACAATGTTTTATTAGTATGCTGTGGGTGACCCACTAAGGGGAGATTGTTGTGCTGGAAGGAGGATGGCTGAAACGTTGGAAATAATGGGAGGGTTCCTAGCAGGAACTCTATAATCCTGACATCGTCTACCACGGGACAAAAGACAGAGTGAAATCACAACCTCCCCTTTTTGCTATGCCAAATCTCACAACAGTATTAAGATTCCCAAAGTCTACTACTGTCTCATATAGATGACTTCAATATAAGGGTCACATTAGTCTCTCAGTACTGAGACAAATTAAAAACAATCAAAATCTTTATTTTCAAAATAATACCTTTTAATTCCACTGTGTAATGGTAGATGAGTGACATACTACAGGTACATGCATAGTATGTAGGTTCCGGTTTATGGCAAAAATTGTGTTACTTCTCGACGTACAAACGAAATTCTGTCATAAGTCATGCACCCCCAGAATTCTTTCATTACTGAAGCATTTTTTTCACTTTGTGTTTGTAAAGCGCTTCCTCAGGTCCCTCAATTGGGTGGGACTCTCAGGTTAAGAGTTAGTTAGTAGTTAACTGATAGAAGACATCTGACACTCTGGTTTCCAGATGTTTTTGCATATTCCTAAACTGATGATGGGAAACGTGCCACAGACTTTCATCTCTATAGGGTGGGGTGATATTATACGTCACCACAACTTATGGTATGTCAGTGATTAGGTTGGCACAGAAAACTCTTTTCAAAAGAATGGTCTAGTTACATTTGAAATTTAACACCTGGAAAACTGGAAGAAGCTTCCTTTGTAGGCTTTTTTACATGTAAACCCGGCTTTTTGGGCAATAACCACAGCATTGTTTAATGGCAGTCATATGATGCATGCCTTATATGCATGCTGTAGCTATGATGAAATAAACCAAATTGCAGATGTAAAGCAGAGCAGAGGGAGGGCCCTCCCACATGTTTGCCTAAGATCTTGATAACCCTGCAACCCCTCACTCTCCCCTGTAGACAGATGGCTGCGTGTGAATCATGTCAGTGCTGTGGGTCTAATGTATTCTAACTTTGAATTACCACGCTTGGGGATTTTAGATTTAACCACAAGACACTTTGGCAGGAAGCGTTTTTTCCTTAAAACCAGGTGACCGTTTATGGGGTATCTCAGCCACCTGTACTGTCTTCGGGGAAGGGTTGGTTTATGGCACAGTAAAGATAATTAGGATTCCAGGAATACATCTGTAACGTGGCATCACAGTGCTGCCTTTCTTTCTTTGGGAGTGCCACAGAAGATTAAATTATACCTTGAACAGCATTCC